CCCCAAAACCCCAAAACCCCAAAACCCCAAAACCCCAAAACCCCAAAACCCCAAAATTATATAAAACAATAGAAATATTTAAACATCATGAACGTGTCAGCGCATGACTTCTTTCACAGGTAAATCATAATATATCCTCAGAGAGTAAATTATTTAGGTGCCCAGATTACAGACAGACTAATGACTCTACCAAAGAGATTGGAACTGCTGATTTCAGCAATATTTTACCTGGAATTAGGGAGGAAATAGCCCAAAGTTGCCAAATAGACGACTCTAAAAATTTCCGATCATTTTTGTATGACAATTCTGCATCGATCACTGATAGGGTGTGAGATACCCTAAAAGAGATAGAGAGTGGCAATGAAAGTGTTGTAAACTCTACTTTTTGTGGAGATTATGTCAAAGCACAAAAACAGAAAAAGCATCGTAGGGAGATTTCTGTCACAGATGTGATGCCAAAAGCAGAATTGAGAAAGGTGCAGAAGCTTCCATCTAAATTCTCTGTACCTCATGATAAAGTCATGAGCTTCCTGGAATTTTGAAAAAGATTCAGAAAAACAATGAGATCGCTGATTTTTATCCAATATTTCACAGTAGGAGAACTTATCAAGCTCAAACTAGTTCATCCTAATCTGAATGAAATTATCGACTCAAGTGTGATCAGCTCCTCGATACAAATGGGTAACCTCAGTCCTGAAGATAGATGAGCCTATTGGAAATCTAAGGTTTATACAAATGTCGAAGGAATTTCTAAAATCCTACCAGCAGGGATGGTAAAATTAATCAAGAATAGTGATGATATGCTTCTTACATCAATCAGAAGCACATTACTTACAAACCTACCAGAAGTGATTGATCACAACGAGGAAGTAATGAACAAAATGATTGCCAGTCTTTTTATCGAAAATCATCTTTATAGGATCTATGAGGATCATACAAGTGTAAGGTTGTAAAATAAATTTTAGTCAGATCCTTTTAGCAATACTATCACCATAAAGCCGTCCCAGTATTGTACAAACATAGAAATGATGGTGTTCACACTTGAATCACTAATAAACACCCATCTTGGTGTCAAAATAAAAGATAGCAACAACATTTTGCGTGAGTGATTCTCCACCCTCTTAACAAATCTGATCCCTAATAATGAGTTTTCCATGATCAAAATTCTTGAGTGCTTCAGCTCTGGAGGCTGGAAAAGAATTTACAGGTAAAGAATTAGCATTTAATCCCCCAATAGTATCTTACTGAACTTAATATCTCACATGATGGAGGAAAATGGAAGCTTTAGCTTCCAAAAATTGCTTGATGATATCAGAGAATTTGCTCAGTACAGAGATTTACTGAAGATATCCTTCCCTGAAGTACAAAACTCAAGTCCTGTAGTTGTCAGTTCGGAAGAAATAGAATCCCTGGAGAACCAGTATATGCTTGCATACATGATAAAGAAGACTGAGAAGATTCATAAGGAAATAAAAGAGAAAGCAATTAAGAAGAGAAAGAACAATATTTCTATCAAAAGGTTCTTCATCAGGTAACTTTATTTATTTCTAATCTAAAATAATTCAGAAAGCCCAAAGATATTGCTGAAGGGAATAAATTGAACTTAAAGTTAGCAGATAAGAGCCATTTCAGAGACTTAGCTGAAAAAGAGTTGTATAAAGACCTATTAAACCTGTATCATACTGAGCATCTCAAGTTAGAGAAGGATGTAGAAATTATTAACTGTAAACTTCTTTCTGTAAAAGGTAACATTAAGAAGCTATAAACCCAAAATCCGAAGCGAAGGATCAAGATATCATTAGCCAGTTCGAAGCTGCAAGCCAAAAGTTAGACATCCTTAAGGAGACCAGAGAGGTTCTTAAAGTAGACATCTTTAAAAAGAAGCAGGAAAGCAAAATGGCATCAGCAAGGAGAAAGATGCGAAGGAAACAAATCAAAGATATCAGAAGGAAGCAAAGGGCTAATACCAGATCTAGGAATAATGCAGGGCCTTATTGTGACCAGAACACACAGGCTTATAATATAGACGTTAGGTTAGAGACCAGAAAAGATCATGAAGCTAATGCTTGTATTACTCAGAATAATAGACAAGTCAAGTTTCTAACCCACGATATTGAGGATCTTGAGTCAAGAATCTGTGCACTTGAGTTCAAAATTAATTCGTATTTAAAGCCAGATTATGACAGAGTGAAGACAGACATGGAGAATTGTAAAAGCAAATCAGAGGAACTCAATGAGTTCAAAAACTCACTTGAGGCCCAAATCATCTCACTAAATGAACAATTTCGGATTGATATCATTGGAAAATTCAGCGAAATAGGAGCAGTAGAATCCTTACAAAAGATTATTTATAATTCAATCAGCTAAAGTATATAAGTCTTATTCTTCTTCCTCATACATCTCTGTCAGCACAAGTATTTTTATCTCTATTTCTTAAGATGTGCAGATACAACTAGAAACCATTGGTTTTGGATGTTATTTTGCTAGTCAAGACATCATTCCTTTAAATAAATAATTGATTACATCATACATTCATTTCTTTCCTAATATTCAATACTTATGCATCCCGCTGGGGTTTTGGGGTTTTGGGGTTTTGGGGTTTTGGGG